AGATCAAAGAGCACAGCCTTCAGTATGGATTGCATCTCAATGTAAAGAAAGCAAAAATCCTCACCATTGGACCTATAAACACCATTCTTATCAACAGAGAAAAGATTGAAGTTGTCAAGGACTTCATTCTTCTTCGATCAACTATCAACACTCATGGAAGCAGCAGTCAAGAAATCAAACGACGTACTGCATTAGGCAAATCTACTGCACAAGACCTTTTTTAAATGTTGAAAGAGCAAAGATGTCAGCTTGAAGACTAAGGTGGGCCTGACCCAAGCCATGGTATTTTCAATAACCTCATATAAATGCAAAAGCTGGACAATGAATAAGAAAGACCATAGAAGAATTGATGCCTTTGACTTATGTTGTTGGAGGAGATTATTGAAAGTGCCATGGGCTGCCAAAAGAAGCAACAGATCTGTGTTGGAAGAAGTGCAGCCAGAGTGCTCCTTAGAGGCCAGGATGGCCAAACTTCGTCTCTCATACTTCGGATATATTGTCAGGACAGACCAGTCTCTGGAGAAGGATATCATGTTTGGTAAGGTCAGAGAAAAAAAGGAAGATTCCCCAGCAAGATGGGTTGGCAAAGTGGCAGCATCAATGGGCTCAAGTGTGGGAACAGTAATGAGGTTGTCTCAGGATCGGGCAGTGTTTCGTTCTGCTGTACATAAGGTCACTATGAGTCAGTACCAACTCGAAGGCCTCTAACAACAACAACAACATAGGACAGAGTGAGAAGCTCTGGTAGCATTGTGGTTGCGAATCAGGCTGCGAACCACAAGGTCATCAGTTCTAAACTACCAGCTGTTCCGTGGGAGAAAGATGAGACTTTCTGCTCATCTTTCTCCCTGAAGTAGTTAACCACCCAAACCTTAACCCAGTGCACCGCTAGGGTTCCTTTTGTATGTGATGGTTACTAGTAATCATGATTCAATAAATGGTTTATTCTCATATGTTATACATATCTCGGAAGTCCTAGTGTGGCACTGTAGGATAAGCACTGGACTGCTAACTTAAGGTCAGTGATTCAAACCCACCAGGTGCTACTTGGAATCTCTTACCACCAACAGCAACATACAAATATGAGTCCTGGTGTGGTGCTGTAGGGATAAGTACTGGGCTGAAACCAAAAAGGTCAGCAGTTCAAATCTTCAGTGGAGAAAACTGAGGATTTCTGCTCCTGTGAAGATTTACACAAACTTGGCAACCCTGTACATGGACGTTATGATTCAGAATGAACCTGATGGCAGTGAGCTGAGTTTTTATACATATCTATGAGGAGCTCTGGTAGCACCAGTGGTTACGAGTCAGGCTGCTAACCTCAAGGTCAGTAGTTCAAAACTACCAGCTGTTCTGTGGGAGAAAGATCCTCATCTTTCTGCTCCCGTAAATATTTACAGCCTCAGAAACCCTGTACAGGGTTGCTATGAGTACACCATGACACATAACAACAACAACAAAAAAAAAAACCTAGAGAGAATTTGCCCAGGGAAATAGGTTTCTTGTTAAGCCTTTGTGGAGTATGGGGCCTTAGGTAGAATCCTGAACCTCACCCAGAACCTTCAGAGGTGGGACCTTACCACTTGGAAGGATGTGCAGACCAACCCAGAACAGCTAGAGGAACAGAAGATACTTCTTGAAAGAAAGACCAGCAGGGAAGTCGGGGAGGGTGTAGACTGTTTGTCTGTGACAATATCAAGCAAAACAAGCTGCTTGACTTGAAGCCATCAAGGCAAGAAAAGTCAGTCCATCAGGGTAAACCCCTTTCTAACACTGAAACTCAAAGGGAACACACGAGCAGTCTTATTTGCTTGCTGGTAACTGCCCTTGTCTACTTGTGAGTGGAAGTGGGAGAAATGCAGCAATGAAGACATGGGTTTAGTTCATCCATATTCCAAAGACACCTGATGACCTTGAAATAAGAGAGAGAAAAGAATGGGCTGGTTGGTTTGAATTTCAGGGAGATGTGTGAAGTCCTGAACCCATGGACACTGACCTAGCTACTAGGGGCTAGAATTGAGAGTGAAGAGATCAGCTGGTCTGAAGTGAGGGGGAGGCAGGCAAGAAATCCCAAACTTGCAGATAGTACCCATTTGACCTAACTTGCTGACCAAGAACTCTATCAGATGAAAATTTAACAAGTATGATACAGGAAGGAAGCGTAAATTGCTACAATTTGATGAACTGGACCTTTGTTTATGAATGTAGCTGCCTGAAATTCCAACCGATAGGCAAGGATTAAGCTGCCTCCTCAGTACACTGGATTAATAACGACAGGCAACTTAGACACTGGCTATCAAAAATGGGGCTATAAAAGTGGCTGACTTACAAGCTTCCATGAGGGTGCTTTGTGTCAGAATGAGGGGGGTAAGATAAAATCGCCACTGAATAGTTTTCTTCTTGTACAGATGGATCTGGTGAAAAGGGATAGGGGATGATGAGGATAGGCTTTTATGATTCAATTATGAGTAATCATTATCAGGACTAATGGCAATTGTCACAGCTGTAAATGTAGAAGAGGTGTAACTAAAAGAGGGGAGCAGTTAATCTGTCATTTCAGGAATAGAGGACCCTAGGACCATCAAGAGGGAAGAGCATGTGAGTGGAGCACGGGATCCTAACCAGAAAAGCAGTGACAACAGAGATGGTGGCAGAAGCAATGACATAGAAATAGAGCAGTTGAGGACTATAAGTCCATGGACTGAGAAAGGCAGTGTGCCTGCAGGCAGGAGGCTG